TTTATGAACTAGTTTAAGGGTTTGGATTATTTCTATTAATTTGTTAAGTACGGATTATTATTGTAGAAAGTTAAGAAGTATGGATTATTTATATGAATTTCGCCATTATGTTATTGTTCAATTGACATTGATGACATTTATCGAGTTTTAGATTTGTTTTTCTCAAATATCATCATGTTTCTCAAACCATCTATGATGACGTTGTTGATCCGCCCTCCTCCAAACCACCGCCACATAAGGAAGGAGTAGTACGAGACCGAATTGCAGGTACAACGGAATCTGGCTAGGAATAGTTTGTTTTTTGTAGTTTCGCCTGTTTCAGTACTTTGCATTACTTTTTATTTGTTCGTTTTGTTTTTTGTAGAGTTGCAAGTGTTTCAAATACTATAGAAACATGAAGACTTACTTTGCTGGGTTGCAGAGTCAAAGTCTGATCATTGGGCTAATGCCTAGCGTTGGTATGATCTTGAGTCTATTGTAATATGATTTGATTTGTTGATATTAATATAGATTATTTCCATTAAAAAAAAAAGCAAATTGCTCTAAATATCATTTTGATGGTAGTGTGATAGCAGGTCTTGAGGCAATAGTTGGAAAAGTTTCCAGTGATCAACGGCGACGGCCTAATGGCGTCTAGTGGTGGACCGGCGTCAATCAGTGGCGGCGGTCTAGTGGTGTTTTGTGATGGACCAGCCTGTGATGATTCACGGTGGTGTTATGGTGGTGGCCCAAGAGTAATTGGCGGCAATTAGTGGTGGCGTTATGGTGGTGTTTGGTGGCAGTCTGGTGTGGATTGGCGACTTCGATCCAGTGGTGGCCCTTCGGTGATCCGTGGCGGCAAACTGGTGGCGGCCCGGTCGGCAGCCTAACGATGGCCGATCGGCTGCCTAGCGGTGGTCGATGGGGGTTTGATGGTGGTTCAGAAGTTGTTCGGTTGTCCGTTAGCGGTCGGTGGCAGTATGACAGTTGCTTGGAGGCGGTCGACGATGGTCTGGTGGCGGTCTCGACGGTGTCCATCGGTGATTTGGCAAAGCTAGAGGCAGTCTGGCAATGGTCCATTGGTGGTCAGCATTTGTCTGGTGGCAGCCAACGAGTGTCCGGTGGGGGCCATAGATTGTTCGGTGGCGGCCACCAGTAGTTCAACGGTGGTCCGACAGTGGTCCTATGTAGGATTTTAATATTACGAGACTGAGTATGATGGATCAGTTAATTGTTGGGTGTGTCTCGAAAAACAAAGAAAATTAAATAATACTCCCTCTGTCCCATTTTGGAATACATAATTGGAATTAATTGAAATGCATTAATTAAATATACCAATTATATTCCAATACATAATTGGAATATACACATTAATTAATTAATGAATACCAATTAAAGGACCTTTCCGGACCTTTCCGAAAATAATGAATCACACATTAATTAAATATACCAATCTGTTACACGATTTTTTTTATTCGTTAGAACATTCAAATACATATCGAATTTCAAATTCAAGTACATCCGGGTGCGGTGTTAGAGGTAGTTCACATGAAATGGTGGAGTATTCAAGGACTGGACTGTCCTCAAAACTCAGAATATAAATGGTGGAGAACCCAAGGACCGGATTGTCCTCAAAACTAGGAAATGTAATTGGTGAAGAATCCAGGGATTGGATTGTCCTCAAAATTTGGTATATATAAATGGTGGAGAATCCAGGGTCTGGACTGTCTTCAAAGCTCGAAATATAATTGCTGGAATACCCAGAGACTGGCCTGTCCTCAAAACTTATAGATTACGATTTAGTAAATTCAGGACCAGGCGGTGTCCTTAAAGTAATTGATTGAACAAGGAGGAGTTCTATACACTTATGGGCATTTGAGTGGGTTTGGGTTATATAAGTCAATGACATTGACTACTATGATTTTCTCAAGTAAACAATGACCCACGGGTCGGGTATTTTCAAAGTGTATATACTGACATGTATTTCAAGACTTGGGGAAAAAGATATAAGTATATGTATCAACCCATGGTTGGGTCTTATACTTAAAACGTTAGTTATTCGTCATTTAGCTTACTTCTCGCCAGTATTGACATACTGACCCTTTCGGGGGGGCACCATTTTTCAGGTTGTAGCTAGAACTTGCTACTTGCACCTTTCAAACGGGTGAAGTCACATTCAAGAAGACGTGGTTCGTGCTTCTTTGTTATCTTTAAAACTACAAACACTTGCTCATGAATATTTTGTAATGAATGCTTTGTTTTGGGCCTGCGAACGCACGCTGGCCGTATGTGGCCCATGATTGACTGTTGAATATTTTTGGTATTCATTCGAGCTAAACTGTGATGTTGTTATGTATGTTTACTTACTGAGTATGGTATGAACAATGTTCATGGACGCCCTTTACAATCGAGTGAGTGTAACTCGCGGGTGACGACACTTGATTGTACAGCTGTTATACGCACGCTTAGATGCGGTTTGGGTGTGACAATTAAGTGGTATCATAGATATCTCAGTTTCTAAACTATGTAATCAACCTCTCACACAAGCTTAATTTTTACAAAAAGAGTTTACCAAAAACCTTGAGCAATGTATTGTGGTGCTTATATGACTACTGGTACTCAAGTTGTAAGGTCTCTAGTTGTTAAGACGATACCCTTAAAAATTGGTATGGCGGTGATTTGAGCCAATGAGTTTCTATACTACTATTCCTTCAATTGACATTGATAGGAATCTAATGACTCGTCCAAACTTTCTTTAAGCAATGGAGGGTAGACGAGACGAGCACGAGTAGCTTCCGTTGGGGCTAGCCGGGTGGGATCACGAACCTCTAGGGGAAGAAATGGGAATCATGGGAGCCATCGAATCCAAACTGTGAGTGATGGCCATGTGAGCTCGGTGTTTGATACAAACACTGGGGGGGATGGCTCGACCTACGTTCCTGAAACGGGACACGAAGAGATCATATGATGGAGGTGATTTCCATATTGATGATGATGACGATGAAAGTGATGCTTGGTCTAGGGCATGACACAATGGTATGGCAACAAGAAACAACTCTACGAGACAAGCACGGGTAGCTTCCGTTGGGGCTAGCCGAAGAAATTGATATGGCAACAAGAAACAACTCTACGAGACGAGCACGAAGAAATTGATATGGCAACAAGAAACAACTCTACGAGACGAGCACGGGTAGCTTCCGTTGGGGCTAGCCGGGCGGGATCACGAACCTCTAGGGGAAGAAATGGGAATCATGGGAGCCATCGAATCCAAACTGTGAGTGATGGCCATGTGAGCTCGGTGTTTCATACAAACACTGGGGGGGGTGGCTCGACCTACGTTCCTGAAACGGGACACGAAGAGATCATATGATGGAGGTGATTTCCATATTGATGATGATGACGATGAAAGTGATGCTTGGTCTAGGCATGACACAATGGTATGGCATTCGATACATGCACCTGGGTTTGGCAAAACTAAAGCCCTTCACGGGAGCGTCAGAAATTGATGTTGAGGAAAAGGAAAAGAGAGAAAATAACTCTAAGGCTGAGATCTCGTTCGACTATACCCAACTGAATGCTAGTTACAAGACTAAGGAAATTCCTCTGTCTGATGACTATGTATCAGTTTTTCTTCCAGCGAGTGAGTTTGAGCATGTGTCTGCAGAGGAAGAAATATCTATTTCTGAGAAATCCTAAACTAACAATGTTTATATTCCAAAGGTCATCCGTAAAGTTGTGGACTTGCACAGATTTTTTGAAACTGAAAAAGAAGTTCATATGTAATACTTTGAGGTATTAAAGATAAGCTTGCTAACAATTGAGCGGTAGAATAATTACTCTCATATGTAATGTTTTTATGTATAAGCATTGTTCTAAAATCCGGTCTAGTCGGACTGATTAATCGGCTTAGTTGGCCCTAACCGTAAAGGACTAATTGGCTCAATCGTCTGCCTAGGCACTAGGTGCCCCTCAACCGCCCAACTAGCGTCTACCGAGTTTTGGAACAATGTATGTAAGATAATCCAGCTAGAAAATAAGCTGGCTAACAATTGAGCATGATAATTTTCCCTCATATGTTAGCACTAATTTTAATAATGAATAGCATGTTCTTATTTAACTAATAATCTAATATTAATATTTATTAATATTTATTGTATTCACTTGAACTTTATGTTATTCACTTATTATACTCACATTTTTAGAATAGTATTTAATTTTAAAATTAATTAAATCATTGGTCATTAATAGGTAGCGAATTGTAATGAGTGGTGTCAATTAATTTTCCATAATATACTTTTCATTGAATATTTATTATATGGGCTTCATGATATTAGTTGAGTGTACTCTTATTTTTTCGAAAATGTAGACTCCGATCCTAAAAAGTTATTTTTATTTTTTATTTAATTAGATTATCAGTAAAAATATATTTAGAGAGTGTTTGCAACTCTTTTTGCTTAAAAAGCACTTTTGGAAGTGATTTTGGAAAAAGTGATTAGTAGTAAAAATTGATAGTGATTTTGAAAAGTAAAAATTGATACTGTTTGATGAAATAAGTTTTTTTTTGTATAATAGAAAAATTAAAAAGCATTTTTTAGACAAAAGTGAGAAACGTTTTTTAAATGGAAGTTGTTACCTGAAACACTAATTTTAGTTATTTAAGTCAAAAGCCCAGAAACACTTTTTATAAAGCTGTGCCAACCACTCTCTTAGAGAGTCTTTGCAGGAAAAAAAACCTGAAATGGGTTTTTCAAATGATAATTTCTGCTTAAATTAATCACTTAAAAGCTAAGAGCTAGAAGCAGGTTGGGGGGTTTTAAACTTCTTTTCACTTTTTCTATTACACAAAAACACTTACTTTATCAAATATTATCAACTTTTACTTTTCTGAAATACTTTTTTTTCAAATACTATCAATTTTTACCATTAATCAGTATAATCACCTTCATCCTAAATCACTTTACAAAAATCATTTTTAAAAAGTTGAACAACCTCAAACGCTCATGCTCCTTTGTTCTTTTCCCTGCGTGGACGTATGGACGGTACTATAGCGGCACTCGCCCGTCAGTATTCCCCTATCCTCACAAAAATCAAAAGCTTCCATCTCCAAATCTCCTCAGAGTTCCCCCCCACCAACAATGGCGTCTATCTCATCATCTCTTCTTTCCCCCTATTTTCTTCAGAACCCCAGAATGCAAAATCAACCCCCCTCTTCAAAAATCGCCTCTCCAACCCTGAAATCTGACGCCCTTGGCCTCGCGCTCATTCGCTCTCCACCTGCTCGGCAGTACAGGGACTGTTTACTGCGCAGGAGGCTCAACGCCGTTTCCGAAGAAACATCAGCCTCATCCTCGCAGGACCCGTCCTCGGAACCCGCCAGACGGCTCTACGTGGGTAACATCCCCCGGACTGTCACCAACGATAAACTCCGGAGCTTTGTGGAAGAATATGGCGCTGTAGAAAAGGCCGAGGTATATTCTTCCAAATGGATTGTGGTTTTATCATCAAATCTGAGGTTTAGTTTTCCGAAGTACAACCTATAAGCCATAGCCATAATTTTAAATGAGACAAATATTAGGATTTCATTACCTTCTAGTACAAAATCAGGCGTAATTATTGAAATCCAACTTCGTAATTGTGTGATCACGGATAAAGTGGCAAGTAAAGTAGATCACTTTAGCAATTAAATCCCAAATCCAGTTTAATTGCACACTGAATGGAGTTTCATAGTGTATATGTCTGTAGATGAATTAGGAGTTAGGACAGTTCCATTCTTGTACCAAGTTCAAGCTCCATTGGATAGTCATAAACTCATAATCAGCTTGTTCTCGTTATAGGCAGAATAACTAGCTTTTGATTACTATCGTATTTTTTTGGTAGAAATGGATGTTACTACTAAGATACCTTTTCTTTGAGACAATTCAGCAGATTCAGACCAGACCTTACCAAACAGGGCTTAAATTTCGATTTGCAATAAGCCTTGCACATTCACCGTCATCGTTGAATTGGTAGGTTATGTATGATAAGTATTCAGGAAGGAGCCGCCGGTTTGGATTTGTTACAATGAAGACGATAGAGGAGGCAAATGCTGCAATTGAGAAACTTAATGGAACTGTAAGGTTTATGCATGTATCTTGAACTAAATTTGCATCGTTCTTAATTGGATCCTAGAATATATCTTATAATAATTACTTTTTTCTTATATAGGAAGTTGGCGGGCGTAAAATAAAGGTGAATATAACCGAAAGCCCATTGCAGAGTGGGGATTCATCACTTCAACATGCAGATGATTCACAGTTCATTGACAGTCCACACAAAATTTATGTTGGCAATCTTGCAAAGACAGTGACCACCGAGATACTAACGAAGTATTTTTCTGAGAAAGGGATGAAGGTTGTCAGTGCTAAGGTATGCCGAGCTCCAGGGACCTCAAAATCAAGTGGGTATGGGTTTGTCACGTTTTCTGCAGACAACGATGTCGAATCTGCTATATCATCTTTTAATAACACGGTAAGAGTTTTATAATCTTATACTATGTATGTTATTTAAAATGTGTCTATGAAGTTGAACTGTTTGCAAGTTATTTCATGTTAATATCTACTATTAATTTGAATTACTCCAAATAGGGTCTGTTTGGATGCTAGAATTGGAATTGAGTTGGTATTGTAATTTAGTTGTTGGGACCATCAAGTGGTTGAATTTCTGAACTGAGGTGAAATTACAATTCTAATTCCATACGCAGTGCTCGGGTTATAAAATTATTGGTACATAATTGCAGTTACTATTACTAATGATTAATTATACTTATAACTTAGGTGCTATATTATAATTATGGCAACATTATGGCTATTATGTAGTAGTATAGTTAATTAAGTCAGTGTCATACTGTCTCTTTGTGTTGAAACTCTTTCCAACCATAGTGTTTAGGTATAAACCCTGAAGGTTGAACAATAAGGATACATTTAGGTGGGCGTAATGCTGATATGGAATGAGTTGAATTAGGATTCCCCAGAATCTGCTGATTTATTGGTGGAAACTCCCAAGATCATACCATCTTCAATTTCTTTTCTGAATTGTTCTCTGAAATACTGTTTTAGTAAATATTGAAATTGGAGTCAAGGGAACTTGTCTAACACTAACATAAACGTGTAGTTTCCATTGTTCAGTTCCTTTAATATCACACATGATTTGTTTTCCTATGATTTATATGCGGAAATACGGAATGATTGGAATGCAGCTGCTTGAAGGGAAGAAGATCCGTGTAAATAAAGCATGAAAAATAAGTGCCTGGCTACTGAAGTGTTTTAAAGGTGATTTCCTCACCCGACACTATATGGTGGCTGTAAAAGTTTGTTTTGTACCTTATGAACTCAACGAGTTTGTTCATTTTGGTGTTGAGTTACTGTGACTTAGTTTAGGGAACGTACACCTCTTTCTTGTTTGTTAGCATTGTATGTTGTAAAGGAAGGTGTGATGAGGTTATAAGAGAATGCTGTATGGGTGCATATCTATCTTTGCTGTAATGGGCTACCTCTTGGCTTCGACTCTTGATGAATCACAGAAACACACTTTCTTGCAGTGGAGTATATTGCCTTTTTTATTGATTGCCCCAATTTATCTTTCATGTAAACTTTGAGCATTAACAAATTTAGTTGACTATTTGTAAAAGCTCAATAAATTTTATACTTTCAAAATTACATCGAGACAAAGTCAGTATTTTTTTATTGTATGATATGATTGTTAATAGATAACTGCCCTACTTAAAAAAGGAAAAATAATTAAAATACCTCAAACTTTGAAGGTTGTAAGGTAAACACCCCAAATTTGCATTAAAAATTAAAGAGAAAACTTCATGTCAGGCCGGCCTGACGGGCTGCCCCGTCCGGCCGAGCCCGTTTGGGCACCTTCCCGGTGGAATTTTTTGATGAATTTTTTTGAGCATGTTCCTCATCAAGTCTAGTTTGTCCATACCAAATTTCAGCTCAAAATTCAACCGGGAAGGTCGTCAAATGATTTTTACAAGTTAACTGGTCGGGAATATGTATTTTCCGGACCAGTTAACTTGCAAAAATCATTTGACGACCGTCCCGATCGAATTTTGAGCTGAAATTTGGTACGGACAAACTAGACTTGACGAGGAACATGCTCAAAAAATTTCATCAAAAAATTCCACCGGGAAGGTGCCCAAACGGGCTCGGCCGGACGGGGCAGCCCGTCAGGCCGGCCTGACATGAAGAGCACTCAAAAATTAAAATACCTCAAAAATATAAGTTTATGGTGTTAATTACAAAACTTAAAATATTTTAGAATTCATGAAGACACAATTAACATTCTAAACTTCCATTGTGAAATAAATAATGTTACCTCAATCTATATAATAGCAACACTTTTAATTTCCTATTTTAAATTATGCAATTAATCTCATAAATTTACATTTTTGAAAAAAAAACATGAAAGTGGTGCAAAAATAACTTTTTATATAAAGTTTAGGATATTTAAATTACATGTACAAGTTTGGGGTATTTACCTCACACCCCTTCAAAGTTTGAGATATTTTTATTATTTCCCCTCTTAAAAAATAGATTATGCTCAAATTATGATATATGAATATTGCAAAATTTAAAGTGTATCAATTATTAAATAATGAATCGGACGCATATATATGTGTGTGCGCGTGTGTTCATGGAGTATCGTAATTAAATTTGTGTGTGACACTTATATAGTGGAAAATAACAAAGGCTTATATAATATAATCTTTACAACAACTATCGTTAGGTTCTGGTTTTGTCTACATTGTGACTTGTTGAAACAAAAAAAAAGTAGATTCACAAGTATATGACGATTAAAACTGTACATTTTGGTTAACCTCCAATCCTCCATATCCATTTTGACCATAGTGTTGAAACAAAGATCGGACATATTTGTTCTATGATATTGGGTTCGCTTCTAAGTTTCTGAATTCATAAAAGTAGAACATCACGTTGATCTCCACACAATTAGTCATGTCGAACTTTGGTTAAAATGATGATACATCTATTTATATTAGGTTGTAGGTCGAAACACCAAACATATCTTAATAATACTTTCATACTATGTAGCACCGATACCGGTACGCGGAAACGCGGAAACGCGGAAACGCGGAAACGGGTACGGGGATACGTCAAAACCAAAAAAAGTAGGATACGGATACGGGGCCATATTTATAAATATTAAAAGTTATAGGGGTGTATTTACAAATATTAAAAGTTATAGGGGTCTATTCATAAATATTAAAAATAGATTTGTTTTGAATATATATATACACACACACACACACACACATATAATATCTTATGATGTCTACCCATTCATTGCATTGAAGCATTTTCCTTTTTCAAGATCTTAGTAATAAATTCATAATATTTCTCATATATGCTAGTGTATCTCGAAATATAAATGTAGTCAATAAGTCATTAATTTAAAATGAGAAATAAGTCAAACAACTGCAATCTTGAAATTAAAAATGCAAGTACCCACTTCGGAATATGAGTTAATCACTTAATTCGGATATAGCCATATAGGCCCATTATTTGATTACCAAGTAAAATGTAGTTTTAGATTTTCATTTTTTTTAGAATTTTATTAAATAAATTTTGGGATTTTTTTTTTAAAAAAAGTTGATACGGGTATCCGTCAGGATACGAGTATCGGAAACTTTCAAAAAATTACAAAAAAAAATGGAAACTTTTAAAAATTGCAGATACGGCCCGGGAACGTACGGTACGGGTATCCTAGAGTATCGGATACGGGAACGTATCCGATACGCCGATACGCTACCCTAGGGAAGTATCCGTGCTTCATAGCTTTCATATAAATCATATTTTTGAACACAATTCACATTTTAAAATAAAAAATTGTTCAAAAATATCTTTTTAGGTAGTGTTAACAAAAGCAAAATGAGTTGCAATGAATTCCATTAACAATTTCTTTTTGTTTTTACACCTTTGGTTAAAATACTTTAATTTAGTGTTCACAATTAATAATTTTAGATACCACACAATCAATTTTTTTAGGAATGATTTAAAATCACATAAAATTTATCAAAATTGATATGCAACAATCTTAAAAGGATGAACCGAAAAGAAAATATGAGACAATTTAAGCGGGATGAAAGGAGTACCATTTTTTCATTTTTAAAATTTGATAATACTAAGAAAGTGTTTGCAAGGGCTTAAAAAGAACTTTTGTGTGAGTGAAAAAAGCTAAAATAAGTGTTTTTAGACACAAACTTTTACTTATTTTATTTTAAAGTAATTTTAAGCAAAAAGCTAAAAACATGCCGAATGATACTTTTAAGACCCTACTTTTAAATGCTTTTCACTTTTTTTTATCACACCAAAAAGCACATTTTCATCAAGTAATCTAATTTTTACTTTTCAAAATTATTTCTGTTAAAACATTACAAATTTTTATTAGTAATCACTTTCTTCATACATGATATATAGAGAGAAAAAAAGTAGAACCATGGCAAACGCCACTAATGGGCTTTTGTAAACGTGGTTAAGCACTTCGGGAGTTCGGGTAACGCCTGAATCCACAAAGCACGTTAATGTACATGGGCTCTGTAAACGCGCGAGTTCCCAAAATTCGCGCCCTTTCCGAATTCCCGCCACAGTCAATTCCAGAACTTCTCGCAAGTCCCGCTACAAAAAAACCCTACTCTTGCATTTTCCCACTCAGACCAAAGATCCCAGCTTTCCTCCCAAGCCTTCTTATGTTTCGTTGCCATTAACGTTCAAAGCATCAAATTTTTCAAAGGTTTTAGGATGTTTTACGCTCACACATTATTGGCTCGGAAGGGTCCGTTGGGGACTGTTTGGTGCGCTGCGCATCTTAACTACAGTCTCAAGAAGTCTGATTATACCAGAACTAATATCCCCTCAACCGTCCGTAAGTATTCTCCATCTTAAGCATTACTTTTCCACTGCTTCTATACGGATTATTGTTAGCTATGTTGAAATTTGTTCTTCTTGACTTAGCTGTTTGTATTGAATTTTTTTCTAGATTTCTTTTCTCATGTTATATATATCTATGGCCTATTTTCCCTTTTTGCTAAAGATTTTAAATTTTATGGGCAATATGATTTAATATAAAGGAAAAGTTTAAATCTTGGCATTTTTGCAGAGGAATATCAATTTCATCCCTCTCCAGTATTGAGGATTGTGTCATTCTTAAAAATCTCATTTTTTGTTGACTAGTGTCATTGTGACTTTTAAGTATTGGTTTCTCATTTTTTCTTGGATTGGTCAATGTTTTACTGTGAAATCTATTAAGGCTGTTTGGATTATGTCAGCTTATAAATCTTGTGATTCCTGTTTATGGTGGGCATTGAATTTTTTAAATATTTTCCCAATGAAATACAATTAAAACAACATCATTATCACACTATTCTTATTTTTGTATATCTTGATTGTCAATGACTAATCAGTAAAGTTTAACAATATGATGAATTGACTTTCCAGAGTTCATCATGTATCCTGAAGTACCTATTGCACTGCGTATGTCTGGACATCTTTTGCTTGGCATTGTCCGAATATATTCAAAGCAAGTAGATTACTTCTATCAGGAATGCAATCACTTGGAGTTACGGATAAGAAAGGCATTTGCTTGTTCAAATGTCAATCTACCTGCAAGTGCAACTCAAGCGCAATATAACTCCATCACATTGCCAGAAACACTTCAACTTGATGCCTTAGAAACATATGATGATCAACACCCAGAGAGGTAATTTTGGTCCCACTCTTTCACTCTCATAAATGTAATACCTGTATGTGAAGTTTATTCAATGATTTTGTGTACAGATCTGTGGATACTCATTTTAAATGCCCGGAAGAGATCACACTTGAAGGTGTGTGTGACGACACTTACTATAATATTGGTATATGTCACATTATTTTTGATGATTTGTATCTTGTTATAATGTTATGAATGAATGCTTTGTCATTGTCACAGATCAAATTCCCACGGGGAGAGAGGAATATGTGGCCATTTATATTGATGGTGAGGTGTGTGAACTTAAAAGTCTCCCTTTCATTTGTATTTATCTTTTGGCTTGCATATTCTGGCATTTAAGAGCTGTTTGTATGGAAGGCTGTGGAGGGGAAGGCTTTGGAGTATTTAGCCTAAATCCTGATAAAGAGACTGTCTCTAAAAACAAATAAAAGTTATTAAATGTCATACCATTGCATATAATGTTATTGTCTTAAGTTCTATTAAATCATGAGTACATATCAAAATATGAATTACGTTATCCAGATCCCCCAAAACAAACCCTTAATGGCCATTTTTTATTTTATAGAATGGACATATTGTTATTCTTGACATATTTTATTAAATTGGAAAGATTAACTTTATACTTGAACATATAACATACTACGTATAAAATCTTTTTGTTTGTTTTAAGAAAGTTACATTTATCATGAATATAGGCCAAGACCTCCAAACCCCTCAAACCGAACACACCCTCAATGCCCTATCATTAATACTTTATCATGCAGGAGATTGGGAATAATTCACCAAGAGAAGATATCAATGCCACATCCGGATTGCGCACAACACCTGAGAAGGAGTAAGAATGTCAACAACTTCTAAACAATTGTTGTAATAGCACCTATTTAGGTATAAATTAATGCTAAGTGAAAATATTTGTGATTCTTATCTGCAGTTCTCACCATTCAGGTGCTGAGAGAACAACACCTGCTGGTCAACAACAAACTCCTCCCAACCAGACCATTCGGACAGGGTTGAATGAAACAACCCCCCAATATGGGTTTCATGAAACTGAGCGCATGCGTGATGCTTCACATAATATCAATACACCAATTACTCCATTATATTGGTCAAAAAACAGAGAGGATGATGTTTTGGAACCTGACTTCAGTATTGTGGAGCAAGTGGAAAAAGACAATGCAAATCTAACTCCAATAGTGGAAGAAGTTTTGCCTTCAGGAGAGCCTTTTTTCCCATCTTCATCCCATGGAAAACACCCTTTTTCTTCTTCAGGAGATGGCCATGAAAACATCGATTTCCATGTACCATTTAATAATGAGTCTCCTGGACTAGCAATTCGGTCAACTCCACCACCATCACCACCACCACCACCACCTCCTCCTCCTCCACCTCATGAGCAGCCAAGGCCAACGAATAGAAGGAGAAGGGCTATCATGGATAATACCTTAGTGTTGTCAAATCAGTATGTTCATTCTTTTCATATTTTTTAGTGAAAGTTGCTTTTCTGGATACCTTGACTGTTCTTGATTATGTTATGGAGTCCCACATTGTTGAATTGATGCATTATAGTCCTTGAGCTTTAATAAATGGTCATGTGAGTTCCTCACGTCCTAATGCGAACATCATTTTTGAAAAGATAAAAGAAAAGGAAGCTGATATTGCTGCTATGACATGAGGAACTTAATTGATGAATTCTTAAAATATTTGATGGAAAATATTGCACTGCATCAGCGATGAGGGATGACATTGCATAAAACCCAGGAATACTCGAAGGACTAATGATTTGCCAGATTTCTTATTTATTCTGCCAGTTTAAATTTATAAGTCTCATATTCCAGGTTCATGAATGCTGCAATGAATGACACAAGTGATTTGATACGGCGGAGAAAGGAAGCTCCTCATTCTTCTCTCTCCATCTGGAGATCAAACAAGAGACTGAAAAAGGATGCCATGTTCTTTGAGCCCTTAATAACTGGTAAGTTGTGGTCAATGATAATAATGATAATAATAATAATTAAAGAAATTGTGTTAAATAGGAGTAAAAATGTTTGTGCGTTCTAAAATAAGATTGTCATGTTTTTATTCTTTAAATGAGAGTAAATACTGCCATGTTTTGGCATTATCAAACTCTAAAGATGCCAGTAATTATTCTATTTATTTATGTAATAAAAATATGACAATCCTAATTTGAAAATCCAAAACATTTGTATCCCTACTTTGAGAATTTTCTCTAATAATAATAGTAGTAATAATAATAAAAACTACAATAATAATAGTAACAAGCCAAGTTTAAAATTTTATATCCATCTTCTGCAGGGCAGTGTGAAGATCTATCGAGCATGCATGAACATGATTTTGTTATCGCAAAAGCTCACATCTCTTCCACAGAGGAGGTAACTCGTGACGATGACCATGGTGTACAACCTCCCCCTTCTCATGGCCATCATGATGATATGGAAGTTGAACACATTCGTGATAATGAAGGCCCTACTGGTGACATTTTCCATGAAGTCTTGCCAATGGAAAATACATTCTTTTCCCCTACATCTGTGCCTTCTACGAGCAGGCAAGAAGATTTTACCCCTGCTCCTGCCTCATTAGGATCAGAACCAGATCAGGTTGGGAAGATTCCTGAATCAGGGGTGGTGCTACCCACACCAGTCCAAGCTTCACCTGCAGGAAATCTTCATTTAGACAAAAATACCCCTGCAACCTTCATGGAGCAGGATGTACAGTTCGAAGTTGGCCCTGTATCTGATATTCCTGTGTTTGACCAATGTGCCGGAGTATGTCATTTGACTTTTTCTTGTCTACTTACTATGTCTCTAAGTTATCCTTACATTTCACACCATTAAATGTCTTTGTTTGACCGTAACTATTTGTTTTTGTGTATAAAAAGAGTCTTTAAAATATTAAAGAGTTTCTGTTTTGCCTTGTGGAGTCGGCTTGTTTACTTTAGCCATTAAAGTAATATAATTCAAGCTAAAATGACATGAAATTTCAAGCTTAAATGAATTAAATTTCAAGCTATGACATGAAATTACTTTTGAACAATCTGTTTTGGTATTTATTTTTAAAATAATAATTCACGATAGTATTGTCTGAATATATAGTAATTGTAAAAAAGATTGTAAAGGGGGCACATTGAAGATGGCCAAAGTTAAAAGAACTTTAAATAGGAACACATGCAGTACTATTTATAAATATAAATCAAAATACTTTAGTCAAAAGTCTTTCAAGCTAAAATGACATGAAATTTCAAGCCTAAATGAATTAAATTTCAAGCTATGACATGAAATTACTTTTGAACAATCTGTTTTGGTATTTATTTTTAAAATAATAATTCACGATAGTATTGTCTGAATATATAATAATTGTAAAAAAGATTGTAAAGGGGGCACATTGAAGATGGCCAAAGTTAAAAGAACTTTAAATAGGAACACATGCACTACCAATGCAGTTTCTCAAAGCAAGTGTTCACTTGTCTAAGATGTGATTTTTCTTGATGTAGGACTTGAGCTTTTTGGAAGAAGATGAAAACTTCCCTAGTGGTGAGATTATATATACTGTGGACGATTACTTATATGTGATTATAATGTACATTTTGCCTTTGACATTGATGCTCATATAATTTGTATTGTATACAGCCTCTCATGGAACTCCAGAAGTAGATTCATCTGGAAAACAAAAAGGAACTTCAGAGTTTGATGCATTATCTACCAGGACAAGGTAACTTTAATTGAACACGGCTGCATAAATATAAAAATGGCTTAATTGTGAATCATGTTAAATGTTTGATTGCTTTTGTAGGGCTGTGGCTGAATATCTCAAAGGTCAATCATCTGCTACCCCTGGGTTAAAAGGCCAATCATCATCAACCCCTGTTTCAGGAAATGGAGACCTGAGTTTGAGTGCAGTTTTAGAAGGAAAAAGCAGGAAATTATGTGCTAGAATGTTCTATGAGACATTGGTAAGCGTTTTTTTTTTCTTGCAAGTCTTTTCAATTTTAAAATCTATACATCTGTTAATCCACTCAGTTCAAGCGTTATAAGTCTAATGACACCTGTTTTTTGTTTGTGTCAATTCATTCATTCAAGGTTTTGAAGGATTGTGGACTTATAGAAGTGAATCAGAAAGAACCTTATGGTGATGTTACTTTGAAGGCAACTTCTAAACTGTTGAAGGAACAACTGTGAGGACGTAAATCAAATGCAATTCTCATGTGGGATTTAGAGGTAGAATACTAATTTCAACTTTCCGAGGATTATATACAAAGCGTGAAACCCTGTCATTGTGACATTTCAATTACTACTGTGTCACTTTCATAGATCACATTTGACTTGTGTCCGTGGTGTGGTCAAAGATTTTCAACTATGACAATAATATGGCTGCGTTTGGATAATGGCAGTTGCATCAAACTGCTGTTTTTTAAACTTAAAAACGCTGCTTTTATTAGCGGGTTGATGCGGAACCGCCGGAAAAAAAACACCACCTATATAGAAATGACATAACATAAAAGTAGTATAAAAATGCTCTTTGTTAAGGGGCAAACAAAGGTCATTTAAACATTTAAACATAACCTGTGATCAAGGGGTAAAATGTGGCCTATTTAAGTGGAGAGCCTTTTATAGACATTACATTTCATTTTTTTCTTTCTCCGCCTGGCCTAACCTTGCTTTTGTACTGCAAAATGCAGTTACTTCTTGTACAGGCAATGATGCAGTTCAGTAGATGGGTGGCTATAATTATTGCTCCGCATAGTTCTTGGGATCAATTAGCTGCTTCATCTAAATTGTATTGCAGCTGCTTAGTTATTAGTTTATTATTTTGATTTTAAGTTGTAATTTAGGTCCAGCAGTAGGAAGTAGAAGGTGAAGTAGAAATCTAAATCCCCTGTGAATATTGCCGTGTTGGTGAAAGGAAAAAACAACTGTTGACATGAACTTGAACATGTGTCAAACCTATATTGACAAGAAATTATTTCACTAGTTCTTTAACTAAAGAGCTTGGTTCGTTCAAGAACAACAAACTTATTGTAGCATATTTTCTCTTCAATGATTTGAAACAAAGAGGCAAATAACGGATTACTCTTCACCAAGAAGATTAGCAATCTTATTCTCGAGGTGCGCTTCATGGTCTTCAAGGCGACCCTTGGCTGTATTATTTTCCCAGAAGATCAAAGTAGGAACACCTTTGAGATTGAACCTTGGATCTGCTCTCCATGGGTGATTTGCATTCCTCCATGTTGGCCTATCTCCAACATAAGCCCTGAGCAGCGCAACATTGTCATTGGCAGATGAAGCTTCCAGCTTTTTGTATATTACAGGTTCAGCTCTCACACAATCTGAAAATGAGCAGCACACGGATCATAAATTTTTCCATCTTTTTTTATATTACAATTTCAGCTCTCTAAACTAGTTTGTTAAATTGTTTAAGTTAATTGACAAAAATCAAATCATGCTTGTCTTAATCATAATTCTACAAAAAAAAAATGAAGCTGGTTTTAAAATGGAACATTTTTGGCACATCAAAAATTTGATGCCAAATATAAAATGTTAAAAAGATATAAACAGTGCCAATTGCCTTGTAGTGGTGTATTTGTCTTGGCTACAAATAATGTGTAAAAAAAGATATAAACATTGTTAACTGTCATGCATGGTGTGATGGTGTATTGGTGTGCTTGTCCACAAACAGCATAGTAAAATTTAGAGGTTTGCCACTTTATAAAGCTCTTGATGAATTGAATCATGATTAGGGAATTACGAGAAATTAATGAATAAAAAACACAAACACCAGAATAAATATTACGATCAACAACCTCTTCCAAAATCCAAATTGTAGTAACTTCAACTGATTATTATTATTAACTGGAGTTGTGATTCGATGAACAAATCGTTGATAGTATAGAAAGGAGAAAATGGGATACCTACCAGGGCACCAGCTGAGGGAGGTGGAAGGATCAGGGTCAGCCAAGAAGAGGATGAGATTGGCCTTGTTTTTCGGCGCTTCGGCTATGAACTTGTCGAACTCTGCATCGAATGTTTCTACGGTAGCGTCGAAAGTTTTGAGAGGCATATTTTCTCTTCTTCTCTACTCTTCCCACGGGATTCTGCAGATGTCTCTGTCTAAGGTAGGGCTTTGATTCCTTTTTTGCTCAGAATTTTAAAATCCCGACCAGTTATTGACCGCTCAGAATTTTTGGTTATTGGTTAAATTGATAAAAATAATACCTCTAAAAATAAGGTCTTATTTATGGATATTACTATTAATTTGAAGACAAAAATATGATTTATTTTTAAAAAATTCAAATAAATGACATAATCGATAACTAATTTCCGGAGATTCATTATTTACTAGTGACTTGTCACTCTGAAACATACTATATTAAAATATACTACCTCCATCCCTCTAAGTTTGGGACAACAGAAGGTGACACGGTTATTAATAAAAGTGAGTTTATGCGGTTGATGTTGAATTGATAAAGTAAGAATAAAGTTAGGATGATTTAGAACCACACAAATTTCACCAAATAAGGTATGAGACAATTTTAGTGGGACGAACCGAAAAGGTAAAATGGAACAATCATATTGACTCTTCTTCAATTATTTGTACACCCTTTTAAAAGAAAAACTATTTGTACACCGTGAGTAATCATATTTTAGTCCGAGACACTTTTAATAGTAATACACATGTCATTTTTTTTCTAAAAATTGGTGCAACTAAATACCAATTACACTGTACGACCGGTTGTACGGACGTACGGTGCTCACCGTACTACCGGATTTTTTTGTAATTAAACTTGCGATTCGTCCCTGCAACTCACCGACAAAGGACGACAGATCGAAAGTCGAGTGCAACTCACAAACGCAGAACGCTGATAGCCAAATCTCCAACTCGAAGATACCAATTAATCGAAGCAATGAAGGCTGAGATGCTTGGCCGATGCAGAGACGGCTTTACCTTTGCTATTCCGATTCTTCACAACCTATTTTCCCCTCTGCTAATTTCTGACCCTGCTATGTGTTGCCACAATTTTTTTTATAAAAAAAACTATTACATTCGTCATAATATTACAAAAATGAGTTTAATTTTAAACTCAAAAAGAGTATACGCCTACAAGAAATGAACTCACACAAATTAATATTGAGCACATTGAAAATGAGTTTTATTTTAAACTCAAATGAGCACGTTGAGATATATTATCCCGGTCCGTTACTGTTCAGGATCCCAAGATTGTACGCGGTACAGAGCCCGATCAGTGAGGCCCGTTTTAGCTTATTAGGCCTGTTTCGGCCTTTGGGCCCCTTTCGGCCCACTTGGCCCATTAGGGTAGATTTATTCCCCTTCCCTTATTCCCTATAAATAGGAGGTTTTCCCTCCATGAAAAGGGCTTTTTTGGTTGGTCTTCTTCCCCATTTCTCCTCCTCTCTAGAATAGATTAGCTAGCTCAATACTCCATTAATGGGAGCTTGTACATTGTAATGGTGAGGAGAGTCCTAATGAGAATGAGAGGGCTTGGACATTAGCCTAAAAAGTCCCGTGATTTTCTCTCTTTCGGGTTTCCACGTAAAAATAGTTTGTTCATACACATTTATACATATATTTACTATATCGTATTAGATTAAACTCAACAATATTGAACACATTGAAAATGAGTTTTATGTTAAACTCAAATGAGTATAACGCCCAAAATGAATGAGCATACACAAATGAGCTTCTGATTTTTTTTTATACTCATTTTGTAATTTATGTATGATCACTTGGTACTGCTTTATGCTCATTTTAAAATGTTTCACATTTCAAACGTATAATACGACATTAGATTCACATATTGAAATTAATTGAAATTGATTATAAACATGAAACATCAATATAAACGAAAAAATAATAAAAAGAAATTGAATTAGAAGATATGAAGCAGAGATCACTGATGCTCATTGTTAGACTCCTAATACTCAAAAGAACTGACCGATGCTCATCAGAATTGCATAAATGCTCATTTAAGAGAAACCATGATTTTCATCAAAAGTACATCACGGATTGTCACCGGTTGTACGTTGCTAGCCGCAGAACCGGCTGTATGATATACGCTTCCAACTAAATACTCCCCACGTAGTATCTCTATAGAATATTAGAAATAAATGAATAGGACGGTATGTTTTCCCATCCAAATAAAATTTATTTATTACTATTACAAGAATAAAGTCTAAATTACACCATTCATACTTTGAGAATAATGTTACGCATATTTGAGAAAATCCGTAATGTTTTACTTGTGTATTATTATATAGGGAATTTTCTCTCTTTTTAGATAGAAATTAAGTTATTGATTATATTTTTGTTTGAAGTTCATTGTTCTTTTACATTGGAGTTGGTTTTTACAACGTCAATACGTCAGAGTTTGGATGAACAACAATAATTTACGACGTTGATTAATGATGAGTTCCTGGATTTTTTTTTTGTATATTTAGTAGTTGCTTTAGTCTAGTTAATCATTATTAGTAGTTGCTTTAGTATATGTAGTACTCCGTATTTTTTATGCCCAATTAGTTTCTCCATACATTATATATTATATACAATATACATGCGACAAAGAGTTCCGGCCCTATGTTTTAAGATCCGAGCCGGACCGGGCGGCTCGACCCGGAACCGGCCACCCGGAGTCCAATCCGGTCCGGTAACTCATCAAACCGCTAATCTAGCAGAACCCGGATTTACCCGGCTGACCGACCGAACCCGGACCACAACTGGGACGGCCCAAACCCGGAATATTCGTGGAGCCCGGAATCTAGGCTTGGACTCAACCGGGCCCAGTTCCGGGTCAGGCCTAGGCCCGGCCCGGCCAAAAAAAATTCACTGAGGCCCGGGACCGGCCCGGTAGTTGACCGGTGCCGGTCCGGGTCCGGGTCAGGTCCGGTTATTTTTTTTTTTTGTTTTCTTGATTATTTTATCCCCTACCCCCCCCACCCCCACCCCACAAACCGATCTGAAAACGCATTCCAGCCCATTTAAACCCATCCCAAAGACCCAAACAAAAAAAAAAAACAAAAAAAAACTCAAAGCCCGAACCGGGCCCGGAACCGGCCAGGCCGCTTCCCAATTCCTTCAGCCCGTACCCGCCCCCGGTTTCCCCTTCTAACCGGCCTAGACCCGGTACGGGTTCCCAGTTCCCGGGCCGGGCCCAAACAGTGCCGGGTCGGGTGGCCCGAATCGGGTCCAAGCCTACCGAAATCATGGGCAAAAATAGTCTAGAGCCTGTGCTGTGCATGAGAGTTGTGAGCAAACAATAAATAAAATAAAAGAATATAGGGAAAAGGGTAACAAAACTTTCAATGATTTCAATTTTACCGTTTTCTGACCTATATAGTATGTCAACTTTTGAATTTTTGTTTGAAAAATGGATAAATTTTGTAACAAGTCTTAAAATTTTAAAAAATGTATACAAAAAGTAAAAATAGATAAATAACTAAAAAAGTTAAAATACAAAATTCAACTACTCAAAATAAAATATTACATAAAATGTACTCCGTATAAGATACTCCCTCCGGTTTTTATTAAACTTCACACTTTGACTTCACACAAAATAAGGAAAGAAATTTGATTTTACTGTAGAGTACACTGTTGAGGCACTGTTTGACACCGTTTGGCACTGTTTAGACACTGGTTGGCACTGTTGAGACACTGTTTGGCACTGTTTTGATGTAGATTTATTTGCCAAAAAAGGAAATAAGGAAGTGTGAAGTTTATTTTACACTGTCCCAAAAAGGAAAGTGTGAAGTTTAATAAAAACCGGAGGGAGTATAAAATTCAAATGTAAACAAATTTAAGGAATTAGGATAATTATTATTAATCCCAAAAACGGTTAAAAGTTGTAGATATTATTGTTTTTATTTTTTAAATACTTTTCTAAATTTTTTATTTTTTCAGTACTCTGATATTTTCCCATGTTTTAAAAACTGGTAAAACGGTTGGATTATCAAGGTAATCATACTTATATATAATACGTTTGATAATATAAGGGTTTGAATGATGAAATTTGAAATAGTAAAAAATCTATTGGACCTTTTCCATCTATGAAGTATATAATTTCATTTGGATATAATCATGGCCGTCTAATAAATTTAAAGGCCCATGTTCAAAATATAAATTTGAGGCCCCTTTTAATATAAAAATTAAACAATATTCTCAATCTAAATTCTTATTACACTCAAATCAATTGATTACTCATTAATTATTGCAAATAAAAAATTACATGTATCAATTTTTCCTTTCAAATAATTAGTCTCTACATTTGTTTTTGTAAAATGTTTCAATTTATGATGGCATTATTATACGATAGTGTGGAGTATGAATTTAACAGCAGCTCATATTCATATATGATAGATACACTATAATAATATATTATTATTATTATATTATATACGAAGTAATTAATTAATTAATTAATTAATTAATTAATTAATTAATATTAGTGGCCTAAAAATAATACTAATAGTGCCCTATAAATGTGATACCATGAAAAGTGGGGCTATATTCCGTCGAACCTAATTAACATGGTAAAAGACGACCCTGGATATAATGGTTGACTTTGGTATTATCTGAAATACAAGTAACAACCATAATATCCGAGGCTTAGGGAGTGCTTTAGATGTAGGAAATTAAAATACAAAATTCAATGATTCAAAATAATAATAAAAAACTATATAAAAATGTATAAGATGTTAATCTCAAATATACAAATATTTAAGAAATGCGAGATAATTATAATCTCAAAAACTATTAAAAGTTTGTAGATATAAATGTTTTTTATTTTCTTAAGTACTGTTATATATTGTTTACAGTACTCTGGTACTTTTCTATATTGTAAAAACTGGTAAAACGGTTGGATTATCAAGACAATCATATAGTTATATAACACTCCGTACTTTTGATAGCAGAAGGGTTTGAATGATGAAATTTGAAATATTGAAGAATATATTAGACCTTTTCCATCAATGAAGTATATATTTCCATTTGGATATAATGGATGACTTAGCTATTATTTGAGATACAAGTAAGTAACAACCATAATATCTAAGGCTTAGACAGTCCATGCAATATTCGACGTGATTTTCTTCATGGGTCATCCGGAAAACAGTGTCTCTGTGCTTTAGTACATGAGTAAGGCTGCATACATCCGACCCCCCTACCCAACCGTAGGTGGGAGCC